TTCACTTTGCATTATCATTGTTGCATCAGAATTCTAAGCGCCTTAGACACATTTTTCTGCTCTTCAAATGTTCTGCGTTCACTACGCATAGCAATTCGTGTAGTATGTGATATGGCCAGTTGGCATTAGCGCAGAATACACCTCAAGCGGTGTCTATGCACTCGTCTATAGCGTTCTATGTCTCACTTTGCTTGAAGACCTTCGTTTCCCTAAGCATAATTTGAAGAACAGTAGTCGAAACACGTTGCAAGATAATATGTGTGTTCAAGTTACGCATGGCGCATTAAATCCTGAATTCTTTGTCTTCTTACAGGACTTAAAAAGATCTAAAAAGTATCCCGAACCCCGCGGCAAACAAAATCTATGTTTGAGCTATCATAGTATGCGATAAACATGTCAGTTTACGAAGCGGACACTACCTTCGTCACTGAAAACATAAAAGTCATTACATTGCATGACTCAATATATTAGCCATTCGCGAATGTCAGCCATTTGCTGAATCGATCGTAGCATTTCTAGACACTAAAGCTTTTCGTAAACACCGTTTTTTGCATAAGCAAGGCCATTTTTGAAAGTTGAATTCTTGCATATCTTAGAGTCGGGAGGAACGTAAACTGCAGGCAGCTCTGGCAGCTTTTGAAAAGAAGGAAGAAGAAAAGAAGAGAAAGGCCGAAGCTCACAAAGAAAAGGAAGTGGCTGACGCAAAAGAGAAACGAGTACGTCCAGTTACTGTTTTTGTTGTTTCTGTGTGTGCGTGACAGTGTGCGTCATCATCTTCACCGGTGTTTCACGTTATATTAGTCGTAAGCGTAGCTCAATTGATTTCTTTCTTTTTATTAGAGATTTATAATAGATAACTTAGAATGATCAATTACTGCATAATTTCTATGCGTATGGTTTGGCAGGTTGCGCTTTTACCCGATCTTTATACGTTGCTTTATAGGCTTCTGGTCGACAAACCCGCGCCAGCATGGGAAGTTCGGGCAAACGTGGGCGAAGAGGTTCTGAGCGAAGTTTGGAGAGTTCTGCGAAGGAAAAAGAGAAGAAGCCTGAGCCTGTGGTCGAGACTGTCGCTCCCAGGGAAAGCCCGCGTGGAAAGAAGAAAAGTTTGTTTTCACCATAATTTTTGATTTCTGACTCTATGGTTGCTTCCAGGGGAAGAGTTCAAAGAAAATGAAGTTGTCGAAGCTACTACTATGGTGCAGCCACCACGAAAACGATGGGCAGCTGCGGTCAAAGAAAATGGTTTGCATTTGCGTTATTTTATTCCACTATACTAAGCATAGTGAGGTTAACTGTTTAGAAGCTGCACAGCGAGCTTCTTCACCGGAAGTTACCTCTTCATCGTCTACCACACCAATGGCTGCTGTCGATGTAGCAGCGGCCGATTCTGTTAGTCCTAGTCCTGGCAGTGTTGGCGGGAAGAAGCTTTGGCTGAGACGACATGCTGCTGAGTCGATCAGCGAAGAAAATTCGCAAACTGTCGAAACTGCCTCAACTCCTGAACAACCTCTCTCTTGTGCCGCAGATTCTACAAGTGATATCGCTACTGCTCCTTCTAGAGTGCAGGTAAGATGACGCGTCTCCAGTTTGGTGGGTCTATCGCGTAGTTTTTATTACAGATGAGCCCACCTTTGAAGAAGCGACGACATATGCTCGAAGCTTGCCAGTCTGACGAACATGTCGCTGCTGCAGCATTGGCACAGATGGGTTCGAAAGGTAAGAAGTTGCTTAGCTTTTGGTACGTAGTTGCACTAATTGCTTTCACTGTTGTAGCGGAAGGGTTCCGCTTCCACTGGAACATGGCTCTTCGGTCGTCTGTACCATCATGGACAGAATCATCAAATGTGGATTTCGAATTGGCGGGATCTGTTCAGAAACCTTTGCCTCCACCAACTTCGCGTAACAGCGTGACTACGGCAGACACAGCTTCTGTGGAAACTACCGCTACTACATCCGCTCCGTCAACGTCAACGACGGCTTCCCCTGCTGAAGTGAAAAAGGTATGAGTGCCAACGCTTTCACGTCTGTCACCTTTTCTGAAATTAATTTTCAGGCGAAACGGCTAAGTCTCGAAGACTACAAAAGGCGACGCAGCCATATGGCCTCTGACAGCGGTGCTACTCCTTCCGCTGCTCCCGCAACCACCAGCGCAGCACCTTCTGCGGAAGTTCGGACTCGTACTGTGGAAACCACAACCACAACTACAAGAATAACTCGATCCTTCATGCCACCTATGGATGCCCCATTGGTATGGTCGAATTTATGTCTTTAACGCGTAGCTAATTTGGTGATTTTTCAGGAACAAAGTTCTTTGCGGCCCATAGGCGCTGATATCCCAATACCAGCCCTTGGGGTTCCTCCTGACCTAGAAGTCGTGAAGAAGATGATTCTCGAAGAGGTAGGTTCTGATTTGATAACTAGAGTATCTAACCTAATCCATTTTTAGGCATGTCTCCCTCCGCCACCTGCGCCTCCTCCATTGCCCACGCCTACAGATCCATCAATCACTCCATTTGCATCGACAAGTGACATGTCCGTTGCTTCCAGCTCGGAATCCGGAGAGGAGAGGATGTCACTAGCCGATCGGCTTGCAAAGGAATTTGGCGTCGGTAAGT